TATATGATGATGGGCTGGATAAAGGGTAATAAAGATGATGATAATTGCTAGGGTGTAATCCTTTCATTGATCCTTAAGTCAAATAAAAAGTTTGCATACAACAAAAATATTCAATATAATTAACCATCGATGGTTTCCAGTGAAATAAATTTTGTAAAGTTGAGAGTAGAAGGTACCTGAAACCAGCTGCTGCCCGCTGATGCCCATGGGCATGATGCCCAGGTTGTTCATGGCCGTGGCCCAGGCTCCATGATCAGCGACAGGAACACTAATGTGGTTCTGCTCAGCACCCAGGTTGCCTACACCATCAGCTGCTGTAGCAGAGACAAGCAAAACACATTGAATGCAATACAGGATGAAACTGCATTAAATGAGAAGGTAATATTTTCTGGGAAAGGTTTTTAAAAAGTGTGGGGACGGCTCGTATTACAAAATTCGATTTTGCTTTTCAATAAGCTACCAGTGTGACTGTCTTGTACAGAAAGCGAAGTATTAAGCCAAGCTCACAAGTGTTTTATAACGAGTCTTTCAGAATCAGCCGGCACACTTTGAGTGTTAACTTAGCAAAGTTTTAGCTGCAGGAGTTCCTGAAGGCTCCTGTGATAAATTCTGCTGTAGAAAATAGATCCATTCACGATAACAAAAGGAGACTGCAGAGCACAACCGGGGACAAAATATGTCAAACAGCCGAGTATTGCTGTCACAGAAGATGAACTCAGAAATGGTCAGAGGAAGTTATTTTGATACTTTCAATCCCCTGTAACTGACAGATCAGGCATACAAATGTGGAGAAAAGGCTTCAACAAGGAGGACTGTCTTCCACGTGGATTTATGCTATCTCTGGGAAACTTTCCCAACAGAATCCTGGCAAAGTTTTTTCCCTCCTTTCTTGCAAAAAAAGGAAAAAATACACACATACACACACACACAGAAGAAAAACATGGCCTAACAAAGTTGGCCTATCTTCAGAAAGTACAGTAAATTCAATATGTACCACTGGCCATAGCAGGGGGTCTTTTCTCTCCACTCTCTGCAGTCCTGTCATCAGATCTTTCCTCCGGCTGACGGTAAGATGGAGGGATGGATTATTGGCTGGGAGAACACAGGGGCCCATCCACTCCAAGCCACAGTCACAGTCCACCTCTGGAATACAAAAAAAGGAAGTTAAGGACTTTGAAACATGGCAAAGTCCAAAGAAAATCCTTGAGACTGGAAATGAATCACTAAGCCAGAAGTTGATGCAAGAGCAGAGAAATCTTTAGGCAATTAGGAAGAAATGCTCCAATCCCAGCTGACTTTCTACCAAGAAAAGAAGCTTAAAGCACACACACACGTACACACACATATACTGACACTTAAGCAGCAGTTTCTAATCTTAGAAAACACACAGAACTGCGATATGAACTCCTCTCTCGCTGGTTAATACGCACACAGACACACACTTTATGTGTGTTGTTAGTGGGCCGGCATCTCGCTCATTAACAGTTTCCCACCCCTGCGCTGAGCCGAGCTGTCGACGCCACACGGAGAACATCAGAGGAACAAACTGACAGCGCTCGGTGACGCTGAACAAATCCCACATTTCTGTGTGACAGGCCGGTTTTTCAGCTGCATCCATACCAATTACAAGCAGGAATCATGCAAAGCAACAACAGCACCATTGTTCCTGTGTCTTGACACCCACTGTGACCGTTTCTATAATTATGCTTTTCTTATTCAGTAGAAATTTCAGTCAACCCACCACTTTGGTCCACATTGAGCTATATCAACAACTATAAGCCAGGATGCAATGAGGTTTTGTGCAGACATGATCCAAAGACGATGTGTTGCAGTTTACATTTTTCCCCTTTGCTGCATTTACTGCATAACGTATATGTATAGAATTTAAAGTTTTAGCTTTTTGTTGAAATGTTTGGGTTTTGAACGGTAAATGGATTCTTACATAGTGCTTTTCTACTCTGCTGGAGCACTCAATACACTTTATACAACTTGCGTTACTCACGTCAGCATTTTTCTATGCTTAAGCGCTTTCAATATAACATTCACTCTATGACAGAAGCATCAAAGACCAAGTTGGAGTTAGTATTTTGCCAAAGACTGGAGCAGCCAAGGATCAAACCATAAACTCTCCAATTAGCAGATGACCTGCTCTACAGCCACCCCAAGCTTACAGTACCTGATGTTCCCAGGCGGTCTCCCATCCAAATACTAAGCGGGACTGACCCTCCTTTGCTTCTGAGATCAGACGGGATGGGTGTGCTCAGGGTGGTACAGCTATAAGCTGTGTTTTTAATGTGTATCAATGCATTTTGCCTCTGCTTATGGCACTCTATTGATTCATGCAACCTAATTATTCTGCCATTTAAATAGAACACTCAAGAAAATTACATTTTGATCTCGAAGGACCAGCCAGCTATTTTCTTTACTAATTTACTATGCTATGGGTCACTGATGGCTGGAGACCCCAGTATGCACTGCCACTAAGGAAGGGAAGGTTAGCAAGCAATGCTAACTAGCCTCCACTGGTCCAATTAGTGTCACAGGGGAAGTGCGGAGCAACATTTTGGTTCTTGGTAATTTAACTCATTATTGGGGATGTCATTTTATCTGGACTAACAAAAAGAAACAGAAAGCAAATAAACTACATTTAAATTTATAAAGGGAAAGACTTTAAAACAAGTTAGCTTCTTTTCTTGTCAGTGTTAAGGTAAACCAGAGATAATTCAGATAGACCTAACCTTCAGATCTGAAAAGTCAAATAGGAAGTGCCTTAAACAACCAGGAAGTTGTTTTGAAATTATATATTTGTATGACTTCATTGTTCAATGATTAATGACATTAGAAAACAAATTTGTAAAGAGTTTAGAGTTTCAGTTGATATTTTAAAGTCTCCCTGAACACACCGTGGCATTCATTTAGTAAATTCAAGATCCATTTAGAGTAAAATAGATTCTAAAGCAGGATGCACTTTATGCCATTGCATCATCACTGACTAGTCGACTCTCAGCCAGATCAACTCCTTGCTTACGTCCATTTTCAACATATAAAGATGGCAATGGACAAAATGCCAAATGTAAGAAAACTTCCAAATGGGCTACTTCCATCTTTTATTTACATTTTGTGTTTTTGTGTACAACAGCAACCAGAGTTAGTGGCACTCCAGTGGCATATTAGATGTGCTTTAATGAGGTCTGACTCTGCTGAGGCTCATCTTTGGTGGGTTAATTAATGACCTATATGTTGGTGCTGGCATGTTTCCATCTGTCAGAACAGCAGAAAGATTTCCATTTTTTCACAGTTTTTCACATTTTACACTGAGCTGGTGTTTAAATTATTAGAGCAGCAGTCAATAGAGGGAAAAGAAGGTCCTTCTGGCTGTAATTATTACTGACACATGTGAAAAATGACCCACATGTGCTTTGGACTCATTAAGCAGGTAATGTTTAAATCACCCAACAACAAGAATGATGGTTTCTATAAATATGTTGAAAAAAAGGGTATGTGTCTTTAGAGGACTATAAAAGGTCGTCCTATCTCGAAGCTGCATTTGTCAGGAGTAGACTGTATCTTTGATGTAGGATTCAAAGTGTTTGACATGCTGAACACGTTGCCCTCACTCTCTCTCTGTCAGCCCACTCTGCTCTGCAGTAATCACCATTATTCACATCTGACACCAGGAAACCAGCTGAGCCCCGCAACACATCCTGCTTTAATTGAGACACAATCATATCGATGACTTTTCATTAATGACCGCACACTACGACGTGCGGTTTAGGGAGGCCGAAAGTTAAATTCCAAAATGTACACTTTTCTCACTGCAGTCATAAATCTTAATTATAAATGTGATGATTGGACAATATTTGCAGTTTCAGTGAAAATGTTTGCCTTTGCTGCAGGCCTCATCAGAACAGATCGGTTTTGTTTGTGTCACTGGCACAGTCTCAGCACTGAGGAGGCAGCCAATCAAATACCGCCGCACTGAAGATTTACATGTGTAGAGCATATAGGACATGTGTTTAAAGTAAATGAAGATGGATTCTCACATATCAGAGCACAAAGATGCACAGTCATTTCCAAAGAGACGAACCTTTAACCTAGACCCCGAACTGATCCCTCAAACCACATCTTAACCTTGAAAGAGCCTGATAAAGGAATGAGGACCTGAGAAAAATGTCCTCACAAAGACAGGCGAACCTAAGCACACACACATCCTGCAGGCAGAATTAGGTCCCCGGCGATACGGCGGGGGGATTGTGGATGAAGCAAAGGCTTTTGACAGGCTGAGGAGGCTGCTTCGCTGCAGCATCGCAGGAAGTTCACAAGTTTAAGAATGATTTATCTTGCATAAAAAAGGCACTTAGCACAATAGCAGTTTGGCTCCGAAGACGGCCTTGTCTCCAGCACCACCAGCAGACTGCGTCACTGTATAGCAGACTCTTGTAATGTGATACTGCACTGCTTATGCTACACAGTTAGTCACAAATTAGACTTACATGTGTTTAAATGCTGCATATTATTTATGAAGCCAACAGAAGTTACGTTTAAACGTGTCAATAAAAGTCAATAAAATTTCAAATCACACAAAAGAATAGTAACGACATCCACAAGGTTGACTGACACAACACTGTGTGTGATATTAACAATCTCCAGATCCTAATGACTTTGGTTTGCTGCTCAGCAGGTAGTTCACAATCGCTTTTATAGCTTTTTCTCTGAAAGAGATGCGATGGTAGCAGTGAAAATGAGCCAAATCAGTAAAGTTGTGGATTGGATTGGATCCAGATCTCAAGCTTACCTGAATAAAACTATTTTTTTGTTCCAGAGAGGCTTGAAAAGTGGGGATGAAGGAAAACACATTTACAGTTATGGCAAAAAGAAACTCTGTTCCTTAGCAGGTTTTAAATTATGAAAAATACAGCCTCAGATGAACAACAATATGTGACACATCAAAATTAAGCTAAAGTACAGAAGCAGTCTATGAAAAAGTATTAAGCACTCTATAAAAGCAGGGGTTTGCTGGTCTGGAGTTCAGGTTTTTTCAACACAATCGTATGTAGGAGATACAAAGCAAAGACTTAAAGAGAAAAACTTTGCTGCCAATCAGTCTGAGAAGAGTTATAAGGCTAATTCCAAACAATTTGAAGTCCATCATTTAAAGTTGTTGACAAGTGGAAGTTATATAAGACCAATCTTCCAAGCAAATTCAACCCAAGAACTACACATCAGGCTCTACAGGTCTCAGTTAGCAAGTTAAATGTTAAAGTTGTAACTTTTTAAAAAAGTTTTATACAATTAAAAAAGACTGAACAAGCATGATTTGTTTGGAAGAACAGACATGACCAAAGTGGCCAGATGTTTGGCCGTAATGCACAGCACCACGTTTGGCAAAAACCAAAGTCAGCATCTCAGCACAAACACTTCATACACATTGTCAAGCTTTAGGTTTGTTTTGCAGCTACAGGACATCTGTACCTTGCAGTCAAAAAGTCACCCATGAACTCCTCTGTATAACAAATTATTCTAAAGTCAAATGTAAGACTGTCTGTCTGACAGATACAGCTTGGCCAAACAGGACAATGATCTAAAGCTCAACAACACCCAACAAAAATATTCTAGTAGGACTATAAGAGGGTTGCGCATAAACAAATGCTTACAAACCTCAATGAACTGAATCAACACTGTTGAGAAGAGTGGGCCAAAATTCCTCTGCAATAATGTGAGAAACTGATCGAATTAGAAAACAAGCACTTCAAGCAACTTGAAGTTACTCCTTCTAAAAGTGTTTCTGCAAGCTGTTGAATGACATTGTTTACTCGGTTTTAGTACTTCCTTTTTAACACGCATGTACATGCTAACATCATCAGATATTGTCTTTGAATGAATACCATTCCAATGTAACATGGTCTTCTACAGACAGAGAGTTGCCCTATGTTTCCTATCTTCTAAAAATATACAGTTTTATAAGGCTTAGTTGTCATTGGTTATTTTACATTTAAGCCAGTGCAGTCATTGTCTGCTGAAAGCATTTTTACATTGTTGCTTTATTCAGAAAGGCATTTAATTTTTTGCAGTCTCAATGTTGACATATCAGGAGAGATTACGGCATGCATAGTTGGTTAGAGTTACAATGAAAAGGGCAGTGT